ATTTATTTATCCCTTGTTTCGGTCAGTGAAATACACTGATATATTCTATAGATTTCATAAAGTCGTATGGATTAGTTTACAGGATTTATTTATCCATTGTTTCGGTTAGTGAAATACACTGATATATTCTATGGATTTCATAAAGTCGAGAGGATTAGTTTACAGAATTTATTTATCCCTTGTTTCCGTCATTGAAAAACACTGATATATTCTATAGATTTCATTAAGTCGTGTGGATTAGCTTAGCGAATCTATTGCTTGCTTCGGTCAGCAAAAAACACCTTAAACATTATAAAAATTCAAACATTGTTAGGCCTTATTTGGTTTCTGAGAGTTATTGACGGATGATTTCTTATTTTTATTTTTTGTTAGCAGTCTTACCGAAAGGAGTGGTCTCTTATAACAACGCAAGAAAACGTTAAATGCTAATCACATTTGCATGTTTTAAATTTTACTAATGTTTTATTGAACGAACTCCACGTTTATTAGACTAAAAATAAGGTTAACGATCTCTGGTCTTCACAATTTTTATAATCACACGTAGATGGTCTTCCCATCATTACATAATTTCAATGATGGAAAGACTGACATAAAAATACATTTTTTTCATTGTTCTCACCTCTAGTGAGAATTGTGAGTAAAACGACTTTTCAAGTAAAAAACAAACAAACTTCAAATCTCTAAACGAAATATTACCAAAGACATTTTTCATTTGGATGTAACAAGAAAATGGTGGTTAAGAACTCAGGTTTGGTACTTCTTCGTACAGAAAGTCCACAATTTTAGATGTTAAACAATAGTTCAGAATTTTCACTTTAATTTCTTTGTTTGTTTTAGATCAAAGCCACATTCAATTATCTACTATTTCCACAGCGGGGAATCGAAGCCTGGACTTTAGCATTGCAACTTTCACTTTAAACAACAACAACAACAAAAAAAAAATTACACTAGATTGTTAAGGTAAAAACAACCAATTGTGTACTTAATTTCTTCTTACTGTGAGCGTGCTTTAAGAGTCATTGTGACATCCTTTTCTTTTTCCTGCTAACTTCAATCTATTTAATCAAACTAGGGCAACTTACTAACAGTGTCCATTACAGCAAAGGAAAGCTTTTAGTCTAGAACATTCACTAGCCAGAAGCTTAACTTAATGTGTCAGAAAAGGATGATGGAGAAGAAAGTGGGACAACTCCAGTTCAAGGGTGACCAACAAAGTTCTAAATATCATGGCTGTATTTGCTACTTTCAGAAAGTGAGCTACATTATTTTTATACATGTTTATCTTGCTGGGTCCGACGTACTAAGTTTGCTGTGTCTCTTACATCGTTCGGTGCTTCTTTTATTGAGTTTAACAAGTTAAAAATAGTAAAATATACGTTTTTATTAAAGATGAAATTGTGATTAATATTTTACCAAATATATTTAATGGTTATTTTTTTAATTCATTCAACTTTAGCAAGATTTATTCATTCTACAGCTAGGTAACTCACATCATCATTAGTTGAGAATTGGAGCTTCGACCAATGTTAGCTTTCATTTATATATATATATATTTAATGACATAAACCTCTCCTTCTTATTGGTAAAAAACAGAAACCATAAATTATCGTTTTGAGACATGTTAATAATATATAACAGGTAGTCAAATGTTATTTTAAGTCAATATTTCTAATTCATACATATCGAAAGATGCTACATCCCCTACTGGTAGCTACATAACACGAATATGACATATTACATCTAATACTGGTACCAACATAGCACGAATATTACAAGTCTCAAATAAATTTAACAAACAAAACCACAATTTCACAAGCCTCAAAGAAATTTAACAAACATAACTACAATTTCATAAGTCTCCAAGAAACTCAACAAACAGAGCCACAACTTCACAATTCTCCAAGAAATTTAACAAATGGAACCACAACTTCACGACTCTCCAAGAAAGTTAGCAAATGGAACCACAACTTCGCAAGTCCCCAAGAAAATTTAACAAATATAGTCACAACTGCACAAGTCTCCAAAAAATTTAACAAATGGAATAACAACTTCACAAGTCTCAAAGAAACTTTATCAAACAGAACCACAACTGCACAAGTCCCCAGGAAACTTTACAAATGGGCCCACAACTTCACAAGTATCTAAGAAACGTAACATATTCTTCAGGTAGATTACGATTTGTTTACTTGTAAATTAAATCACTATTCTCTTGGTTTTGAAAATGAACGTTATTAAAAATTATATTAGTCTTGGAGGAAAACAAGTAATAATTGATGTATATTACTATATTTGTTCATTTCGAACTTTTTTATTTTTTAAGAAATTATTTTTTTCTCAATGAATCGACAATAACACAATAAATCTAAATACAAGGTATTGCTGCTGTCTGAAAATACATCCGATATAATGTCTATACACATATAATTATCACATCGTAGGTTTTTCTGGTGTACTGTAGCTAATTACGCATGAAACTTACCTTTCATATCATTACGCAGTCATTATGCAACAGTGTTACTGCATCATAGCATCAAGGAACAGGAAAACATTGTCATTTTTTCTCCTTTAACTGCATTATTGTCAGTTTTCACCCCTATTTACATTGTTGACAGTTTTTACCTTAAACTGCATTATTGTCAGTTTTCACCCCTATTTACATTGTTGACAGTTTTTACCTTAAACTGCATTGTTGACAGTTTTTTCTATAAGTGCATTGTTGGCTGTTTTTATCCCTTAACTACATTATTGTTTTTCACATAGTCTATATAAATATTTTTCTATTCTAATTTGTTCAGATTGTGGCTTGTTTTACTGAATGAACATGGGATAATTTCCTATACAAGAAATAATTCCCTTGTATTATCGGCGGGCAGTTATGCTATACTTTATGCAAGTTGTTCATTTAAACTATTTCGAAACTCGATTTCACCTGTACAAACTGAATGATTAAATAATTCAAACTTTACTTTTTTCCGGGTTAGCAGTTTCTATTTCTTTTAAGTTATCATTTTTCTCAACACATGATAAGGTAACTGTAATAAGAAACGAAATTTTAAAGTGTAGAATTTGACTCATTTTTACCAGTACTATGGTGATGATTTCATTTTAGTTTGAAACACACTAAATTCTAACTGGTATACAGTACGTATACATATATTCTTATTAATAAGACAATTAGTAATTCCCATGGTCTGTATTAAGAATTTAGCAGAACACCACTATCAAGGGCATTTTTATTTTGAAACGTGTATTGTATGGTAGTACCGCTGAGTTATGCTGACGTTTTGTTCCGAAAACTATATGTATTGCATGCTGTGATAGGCTCTCTGAGCAGTGCATTAATCGGGAAGCTCCTCCCACAGTTAAAGTGGTTCATACTGTCAATAGCAAACTAGAATTTTAGTTATCACTTGGAAGACACACTTAGATCTTAACCAAAAGGCCGAGAAGACATAAATTAACATTTCTAAGATGCGCATTTCAGCCTATTAAAATTACAATGATGAGCTACAAAATAATTCAAGAGAAATTTGTAAAATTATTTGAATGGTTCAAAGTTCAGATTTAGGCCTTCATTACAAACTCTATTCATGGTTTTTAGGGCCAAAACATTGAGCTAATACTAGATGTACTTCCGCAGGATCCCCGAAAATGTTCTGTTTCAAGAGTAAATAAAACACAAAATTAAGAGTAACAAATAGTTTTATTTCTTGCTTTTCAAGTTCATATGTCATGCTGTGTCGTAGCCTACAGAGTGCATAATTCGTCTCGCGATTCACGGCATGCGTACATTTTACTGACGTCACGACAGTAAAAATTACAACGTTAAGTATCCCTTACGTAACGTCATTTAGTGTCTACTGACTGACTGACAGACAAAACACTACTGGATAGTGATGCGAGTGGTTAAAACAGGTGACCCTTCCAGGCGGCCTTGACTCCCTTTCAGAGAAAATATAATTTTAGAAATTTATCTGAAGTTACAGACCTAATAACTTATGAAGAAATTATTATTATACTTTCCAGTACACAAAGAATTTGTAAATATCATTATTTTGTAAACGCACACACTGCTATACAGCCTTTTAATAATTAAGAATATTAAAATAATATTTAAAAAACAGAAGAAATATCTAAAAACACCTGTTTTCACGTGACACTTAAAAATATAACATTATCGAAAATAACTATGCCATCACACATTTTTTTACACTACCAAATTTTTTTATCTTTTATATACATTTTATTCTGTAATTTTACATTTTATTTTTTTCACAATACCCGTGTCCTGGTGTTTCGTTTTAACTCCCAGTTGTTGTGCACCTCTTGGTGTTCATATGACCACTATAGCTTTGTGTTGCACACATCATATAATTATCACTTTTTGTCGTCATTAAAAATCCATCTAATATCCGAGCCCTAGTACTTTGTTTTATTTTAGCATGCTCTACAATTTTCGTCACTTCCGGTTGTATTGTAATTGAAATTGTACATGTGGCTTGTCATACCTTGAAGTAGAATGTTTAACGTTGAAGAATAAAATACGATAACTTCATTTTGAAGTAGAGCTAAAGTCAACGCAACAAACTTTATCCACAGATTTCTTTTTGTTTAGATGGCAGCAAAGTATTTCCGTTTCGTCCTGATGATACTGTTGCTTTCCACAACGGTGGCCAAGAAGAGGATTTTACAGAAGCGAAGTTTTTCCGTACTGGGCTGTATGGGAACTTACGACAAGGCCAAGTTTGCTCGACTGAATCGAATATGTGAAGAATGTTACAACCTGTACAGAATTCCAAGTGTGCAAGAAGACTGCAGGTATGCTAGGCTCCCAAATTTTGGACTTAAACCTTATCTTCAGCATTCAAAATAAATTAAATACAGGTTGTACACCAGTAATGCGAAATCCCACCATCCATTGCTTCTTACTTTACACTGACATCCCCAAAAGTAGTGCAAAATCACATATAAGGTCTATTACATTTACATTATGCATCTAAACAAGTAATGCAAAAATTATGTCCAGAATGTCTTACATTTATGTTGGGAATTTCAAAGATTAGTGTGGTTGAGTGTAATCTTATGGTTATTACCGTGCCAGACTGTGAATACGGAGGCTCATGTTTGAGTCTCGATGCCCCACTTTGGGAGTCTGGGCGTGTTATAAGAGTGACGCTCAAATCCTACTATTCGATTAGAGTAGCCTAAGACTTGATGATGGTTGCTGTTGACTAGTTGCCTTTCCATTAATTTATCAGTTCAAACTTAGGGACGGATAACACAAGTAGCCCTTGTGTAACTTTGCGCAAATATCCGAAACAAAGTAGTGCAAAATTACACCCAGTGTCATCTATATTTACATTGGAAGTCTCAACGTGCATGAACAATGTAAATATTATTTATGCACTAATTACATCGAGAAAGACTGCCTGACGATTATTAGGCCTACGTTGAGGGTTAATGTTTATCTTGTCATGATATATATATATATATATATCAGATAACATTACACGACACACAGACAGATTTAACGAATATTAGGCCTACGTTCAGATCTAATAGTCATGATTATATGATACACAAACAGATTTAAACGACGATTATTAGGCAAGACGGATTTGAAAATAGTGGAGGAATTCAAATTATTTTGGGTAATAAAAAATTACTTAAATCTCAATGAACCTATTCTTACATTATGATAAGTCTATAGGTCTGTAGTTATTATTTCTTTCTTTTTTATATTGTTACGTCTCTGTTCGTTCGTTAATTAATTTTCCGTAAATTCGTTCCGACGAAACTTTAGCGACACAAATCCTTTCTTAATTAAAACTGGTTTATTCTTTCCGAACACAACTTTACCGATACACTTAATTTCAACAGTCGCTCTATACAAACGCTACAACTCACGTCTCACGTGGTCAACAATATTCTGTCCGCATACATTCAATTACTCAATACACTGATGTCCCGTCACGTTGTGAACGTCTTATATATACCAGATTACCCCCCAATCTAGTAGTCTCCCGATAATTCACGAAGGTTCGAGAAGGACGTGGCATGATACTAGTCACGTGACCTCGCTGACGCAACAATATCAACTATATATTTGATCTTGCTGACGAATGTTTGATGTTCTCTTCAAATAATATATATTAGTTAAAATATTTTCAAATTTGGGTTTATCTCAATAAATAAAAAACAGCAACATAAAATTCAGTTTCAAGTTATCAAACTTTAATCTTAGAATTATCAAAGTGATTTAAAAGCAATAATCTTATTTTTGAATTATCAAGCTAATCTAAAACGAATAATCTCAGCTTTGATTTATCAAACTAATAATCTTGGCTTTGATACATTAAAACCCCGATGTTTTGGCGGTAAGTTTATGGGCTTCCAACGCTAAAATTTGGGGTTCGATTCCTCGCAGTGGACAGAGCTCACTTAGCCCATTGTGTCGCTTTTACTTAAAAATAAAACAAATTTCTTTACAAACAAACATGAAGCTTACAATATTAGAGGTTTTAGTGGCAATTTATTCAATAGGCTGCTCACAGTACTTAGAAGTTAAACTTGTGTAGCAGCCGAGTTTTAGTGAAGTAACAGAGGGAGATTTATTTACTGTGTCCAAGATGGGGCAATTTCCAAGGATTCTCTAAATAAACACTTTTTGTGATTCTCCTAATACATCAGGACAAAACTTACAGGAATTAAGAAAAAATGTGCATGTGTTGTTATCTTTTATCATGAACCACGATAGTGGTTCATAATAGGGATCGCAAGGAATTGTACAAAACCCTAAAGAACATTCGGGTCAAAAGCACCTTAAACAGTAAAAATTCAGTTCAAACAACACTTTAAAACCTTTAATATTGACTGCTAAGACTGTACACATATAAAATTGCACAAAAAAGCATGCATGATAGACTTACAATGAAAAGAAAATCCACTCAAAACGGCCCATTGGTAATTCTTCTTATTATTATTAGTATTCTCTTGCCAGCCTACAACAAAAATGAATTGGTATATTTTCCCCAAACCTTTTGTATAAGACTAAATAAGGTACTGCAAAGGTTGTAGGGGTATTGAAAAGTTGATTTGTTCCTTCTATATTTTATATAAGCGAAAAAACATCATAATTCTAATGTAAACGACGTTATCATTATCCCTTGAAATTAGCTTTCTTACAAGTGTATGGTATTCCTATAAAAAAGTAAGTGCAGTGTGAAACAGGAATTACCAGCCAATAATAGGTAAACATTAGTTGACTGTAACATGTAGATACTCAATGCTTTGTACATTATACAATCGGTGTCTTTAGGGAGCCAACCCTTATATTACGCATGAAGTGAAGGAGTAAACAAACGTCAATACACATAATATTAAATTTTATTAGACGCATTTGTAGAATAATTAATTGAAAAGACACGAAGGTTTGGTGGAAGAGATGTATATATATATTTTACTTGGAAAGGCTACTTTTCTTCAGGTAAAATTTTATATGCACTTAGTGGTGGTTATGTCGTAGTCTAAGCATATATTTGCCAATTGCTCTGCATTGTATATATATACATAGAATTTAGTTCCACAGAAACTATAAATGCTCGCTATATTCTCAAATAAATCTCCAACTGCACCTTAACATTTGAAACCTCGAAATAATGCGATCAAATAGCCAACAGCTACAGTAAATCATCATGAACTGTACCAGCTAGCTACTATCTATATTCATTATCATTACAATGTATAAAGTTAGCTACCATATCAAGTAATCCTTTACCCCTAGTTGAGCATACAAAAAAGACAACAAACGAGATAAATAAGAAAACTGGGAATTTAAAAAGCCTGCAAATAGGGATCGTATAAAAGTAAGGAACAATGCTGGAGAAAATGTAGACATTATTCAATCAAACTACAAGATCATATTCTGACTCCACCAAATGTAATTCTAGGTAACAGTATGGAGCTGAAATAGTGGTTTGTAATTTGAGTAAATAATGTATACAGTATCTCCAGCCTTGTTTCCTTATGTACGATCCCTATTTACAGTTTTTTATTTGTCTTTTTTCTTTGCATTCAGATTTGGCCGTCTTACTAAAATGTTCTACAAAGAGAAATTTATACAGGTTAATATCAAGAATTCTGTTGTTGTCGTTTTTTAGGTCCAACTGCTTCAATAACGACATGTTTCCGGATTGTGTCTCTGCCTTGTTGCTGGGTCCTGAACAGCAAAAGTTCGACTCTTTCGTACAATACTTGTATGGAAAAAAGAAATAACTAGCCAATCCTGAGAATAGCCCCGCCCTAACTTCTAATAGCGTTATGATATCAATGTCCGTCTTTATTTAAGCCACGTCCATTATCGTTTATTTCATTCCATTGTTGTTGTTGTTTTTTTCTTTTAGAATTGCTTTTACTGTAATTCTAGTGCTGTTGTTGTATTGCAATGTGTCGAGACATTTATTTATTTATTTATTTGAAACCTTGAACACTAAATATCTGCTAACGACACAGGAGAAGAATGGACGTATTTAAAGAATCGGGAGAAAATGTCGGAATGATGAAATGATAGTGTGTATTCCAGATATTAAAGAAAACATACGAGTAGTATCCATATTAATTTATTAATATGTTTGTGCCTAATTCTTCCTTTTTATTGTACAGTGGTATACCAGTCGATGACGGGTTGACAAAAATAAAGTTTAATTATAATTAAAACGTTTCTGTATTACTGTGTCAAAAAACACGAATCGTCATTAACATGAAGGTTAACAAGAAACATCGTCAGGATAGTGAACAGGAAAAACAAGGAACATCAACAGGATAGTGAACAGGAAAAATAAGGAACATCAACAGTAAAGAGAACAGGAAAAACAAGGAACATCAACAGGATAGTGAACAAGAAAAATAAGGAACATCAACAGTAAAGAGAACAGGAAAAACAAGGAACATCAACAGGATAGTGAACAGGGAAAGCAAGGAACATCGACAGTAAAGTGAACAGGAAAGCAAGGAACATCAACAGGATAGTGAACAGGAAAAGCAAGGAACATCAACAGGATAGTGAACAGGAAAAACAAGGAACATCGATAGTAAAGTGAACATGAAAAGCAAGGAACATCGACAGTAAAGTGAACAGGAAAGCAATGAACATCAACAGGACAGTGAACAGGAAAAGCAAGAAACATCAACGGGATAGTGAACAGGAAAAACAAGGAACATCAACAGTAAAGTGAACAGAAAAAATAAAGTGTTATATAAATAAAATAAACTGAGAGACAAATAAACAGGCAGAAACATGATTCTAGCTACTCGTAGTGGAAGTTTGTAATACATTTTTTACCATTGCGTTCTCAAATAATTTATAACAAGTGATAAGCTTATCTTACAGATTTAAACGCATTTCTAGAAAAATAAAAAGTTCAGGTTCCCTGTTGACAGGTGGGCGGTGGAGATTTGGAAGATAATTTAGATGTTATTGAGGCTGTTATTTCGATTGGCGCTGTAGTGCAAAAATGTAGTTGATTACGTCATTCCAATATTAATTTTCAATGCAACCTAAGTAGTCTTAAGATTATAGTGTTTCGACTTTTAGATAAAAACAATATAAAACAGAGCCCGAATTTCATATCCGGGGGAATTAGGCACTGAAAAACACTGCGTATAAACTTAGTGACTTGAATTTTAATGAACACTGAAACAAACTCAAGTTTGGCTTTTCGGGTAAAAATGTGAATAAATATTAAAACTTAAGTTTTGATTTAAACTAAATCAAAACCAGGGTTTCAACTTTTACGAAATTTATAATTAATATCGCATACACCTGAGAAAATTAGCAATGTATTATGTATGTTCTTCATGTTGTTCCACATGTTTAATCACAGAGGCTAAGCGTGTCCCAGTAATTAAAGTGCCACACTGTGGATTCCGAGGTTTCGCCCCCCCCCCCATGGCGCCTCGCATTTTAGGGCCGTAGGTGCGTTATCAGAGTGACGGTCAAAACCCACTATTTTGATTACAGTAGCCCACGAATTGGCGGTGGATAGTGTTGACTAGCTGCCATCGCTCTAGTCTATCACTTAGAAATAAGGGACGACTAGCGCAGATAGCCCTCGAGTAGCTTTGCGTGAAATTCAAGAACCAATATTCCTGCGCAAGAAAATATATTACAGGTAACTTTCCATCCATTAGCCATGTTGATGTCTTAAAATATTTTAGCTGATATTTATCGTTTAATCAGTCTCTACAACCTACGTCAAATAAGCCAAAATCGTCCTTTACTTATCTATCATTTAATCAGTCTCTACAACCTACGTCAAATAAGCCAAAATCGTCCTTTACTTATTTATCGCTTAATCAGTCTCTACACCGCGTGGTCACAAATAAATAGACACCACCTTTTCAGAAAAAAATAAAATTTTCAGTCATATTCACATGAACTGATATATTTATAATTTAATTAATATCTAGTAGATCTTCATTTTGCTTCGTGGAGTTCGTTGATCCTTTGGGCATCGTGA